TCTGACCTATTCTCTCTTCTTTATCAGAATGTCAGAGGGTTTATTTCTAAGCTTAAAAACCTTTTAATGGATAGCACCTCCTTCGATTCGAATATTATCGCATTTTCAGAAACATGGTTAAATTCAACTATATCTGATTGTGAATTTTTTTCAAACAATTTCATTGTCCAAGAGTCTTAAAATGTTGTAAACTTAGTTAAATAATCGCTTTCAAACTGCAGAAAAAAATAGTTATCGCAAAGCAAGTATTTACAAATAAAATTGTAAAACAGTTATTTTGACTGGTATAGTAAATCTAGTGTTAAAAAGACACTAATGAAACATACTTTACTGCAAGCCCCTTATTATTTCAATGAATTTGGCAAACGGCACTGATGATAGAAGTATGCATGATAGCAAGCAACTTCCACCTGCATAAGCCACAAGAACCGTCACTCAGGGTGAAAGTAATAGATCTATAATACGACAGAGCTGCTATACACTGGCCAATTAAATATTTCACACTAAATATCTATGGAAATCATTTCACAGTAAATACTGATCCCGCATCCAAACTAATTAGTTTACGATTAGATTTGAAAGAAAACTATTTTACGGTAGAATAGATCAAAGGGAAAGATAATTATTTTGCCGACAGTCGCGCATAACAATAAATGAATTCTTAACTATGAACAGACACATAACGGTCACAACGAAATATTCGACTAAACAGGAGAATTCTCGGCCGAGTACAATTTCTAAGACCAAAGATCACAAAATAAAGACCGAAGTCTACGAAGTGATTAGCAATAATGACGTGAAAAATTAGTGCATATTAATATTGCATAATAAATAAGTGTTTATTGAAACTTGGAAAAGAAAACATTTCACGATTAGCAGTTAATGACTTATTTTCCAAAGTACCGGGGTATATAACGTCAAAATGTATTTTGCAAATTTAGATACAAAATCCATGAACATTTCCGAATCTATTTAGCTAAATATACTTATTTAAAAAATTGGTGTTCACACATTAACACGTTACACCGAGTCTCACTTAGACCCTCGGTAAAAATACATCACACCATATTGTACCAAACTGCAGGTAGTTGCATAAAAATAAATAATACATATGTGGTCACTTAAGATTGTAAAGTGACCTAGCAAGGGTAAGAAAAAAGGCTAATTAACATTCATAGTTTATGACCGCTGCTACCGATAATGCATCGACAGCAGGCCTAAAATAAGACAATCGGTTAGTATATAAGACCTACGATTCGTAAGAATAAGTCAGTATTTAACAAGTACTGTACTCACAGTTAACAGATTCGTTCATTTGGTCCTTCACACTCGTTCATTTGGGCCTTCGAGCGGTGCAGCCAAGAGCAGCTCGCCTAACAGAGTACCAGACCGCAAAATGGTTCGACAGATCCATGCTGAAAGTGATCAAGCTAAAGGTCCCACTAGCCATACCAGCTGCACTTCTAAACGTGAAGCCTGAAAAACTAGCAGGCGAAACCAACATCTTGGCAACCATTGGAGAAAATCTTGTGCCAAAGCGCCAAAACAAAAAGACGAGCGGCCCAGAAGACCAAACGGCAGGTAGCTGCATCAAATGAACTAATCTGTTAACTGTGATTACTTGTAAGATACTGGTTTATTCTTACGAGCCCTAGGTCTTATATATTAATAGAGTTTCTCATTTTGGGTCTGCTGTCGATGCAGTATCGGCAGCAGCGGTCACAAGCTATTGCTTTTAATTAGGGTATCTTTCGCACCCTTGCTACTTATTATTTTAAAATGATATTTTTAGCGTAGGTTACTCTTAGAATCTTAAGCGACCAGATGTGCGCTATCTATTTTTATGCTACTGCCTGCAGTTGTACAATATAAGTTTTTACCGTGGGTCTAGTGAGACTGGGTGTCAAGTGTTCCTGTGTGAACATTCTACGGAGAGCCTGCAGTTTTTTAGTTGCAGTTATTTTTCTTATCAGATATACAATAATAATTACGTCTAAAAATTAATACAATCATTAACGAAGCGTAAAAGGTTAAGTCTTTTAATTCAACATGGTGGTCATTTAATTCTTGAACATTACTCAGTAGCTTATTTAATTCCTCAGAAGTACTAATCTCAGTGGCTGTTAATGGATCCCACGTAACTTTAAGTATTTCTTTCAACTCTCTTTTGTAAGAGGGAATAATGGTTCCTCCCAATTCACAAGCAATTAACAATTTGTCTTCCGTTCTACAGTCAGGTCTGATTGATAGTATTCCTTGATCTGGCTCAAGCTCACTAATTCTGGTGATGTTTTTTCACAGTGGATCCTAGCTGTCGTATAACGCAGGTTCTTAAAGAGCCAACTGCTTCTGCCTTCTAATTCTACTCATGTTTTGGATGCTACTATAGATCTGTACACACAATTCGATGGTCTGTTTGGTTTAAAAGATGAAGTTTCACAGGTGTTATCACTGGCACTGATCTGACTGAAGGCCAATTCCCTTCACACTTTTAGCAGTGTATAAATCTCCTCAATTTCTGTATTTGAATATTAAAGTCTACCTACCGAAATCTTGATCTAGCTTCCTTGTCGCATCCACGATATTAGTTTCTTTTGCGTTGGAGTCGACCATATTTCCTTGGTCCACATACACTCTTAAGAAATTTCTATAACTCTTCCTAAGCTGTGTATTTCTTCTGTATTTTTTTTCTGAGTTTAGAAACCGTGCCATCTCTTCTGGTCTTGATTCACCTGTCTTGTTCTTCCTTAAAGGAAATGGTTAGTGTATACCTTCCATTTAATTCTCTTGCTGTTTCAATAACATTTTTTTGCATCTTTTTTATCATCCTCTTCTATCTGGACTGTCTCCTCAGATATGATTGTAGTTTGCGGCCCACTATTAATAAGTGCCCGCAATTTTTCATATTCCCCAGTAGCTGACTTTACCAAGACAATTGCTGTCGTTAATAGCTCTTGCTTTTTCGCCACACAAGTGTTAACAACTTTCTCTTGAACGTTTTTAACACTTTAGACATAATGGTGCCTTTCTTGCGGCTTCTGCCCTTATGCTTAATGCATAATGCCCTGCTACCTTCCAAACTAGGCAATTTTCCGAAAAGTCCTTATTGACTTTCGGTGTCGGTCGGACATTTTTTGAACTTCTTGTGTTCTTTTCACATGATTTTCCTATGATTGCAAAGTTTATCTATCAAACTTGCGAATCATGAGTGCAAAAATTACATCAACTTCTTCTGATAAGCCCGTTTTCAATTTTATTAAATGTATTGATTCATTAATTGTATCAATGCTTTGATGTGCTCTGCTGAATCACTGTTCAGTACTGGCAACTTTATAAGCTGATTTAATTGTTCGGAAAATATTTTCCGTTTGTTTTCATAACGCTCGGTAAATAATTCCCAAGTAGCGATGCAATTTTTCCCGGAGATACAGGTTAATTCTTACGAATCCTAGGTCTTATATACTAATAGAGTGTCTTATTTGAGGTCTACTGTCGATGCATTATCGGCAGCAGCGGTCACAAACTATTGCTTTTAATTAGGGTATCTTTTTCACCCTTGCTACTTATTATTCTAAAATGATATAAAATATTAAAATTCTTCGCTCATCATCAACAAACACTTGGTACCATAGATCGAACTTGTTGATTACATTTCGATTGACCATATGTCCCATGGTTGAATTACTTCTCATACTTGCAACCATCCGTAGTACATGAACATGCCCTTATCAGCTTGACCTTGGTATACGACCAAGGCAATTCATTAATTATAGTAAGACTATGAAATAAAACTGGGCTTAAATCAGATCTAAATTACTTAGGGCCTTATGATGTACAATAAATAAAAGATAGAAATAAAAATTAATAAATAAAAATAAATATATAAAATAAATACAATATGTAAGGAACATAAAGAGCTAAAACTGTTTTACCGATAAAAGAACTAATCATGAATGAAAATACAAACTAAATATGATCTGATTAATCAACCATTTTCAACTTTGAGCAGTGGCAAAAATTTTAAAATCTTGAACCACACATTGAAAAAAAAATCTTGTTCTACCGTCATTATCACTTTTTTTTAGTTATTATTATTGTTTTTATTAACATTATTATTATGATTATTATAAATATTACTTTAATTATTATTATTATTTATATGACTTTTATTATTATTATTACTTAAATAACATATCAGCGATATTTCACAGACTTAAGCTGAGCAAAATTTGAAAATCATTATATTGCCTCATTACCGAGGCATTACAGCTTATGCTCGCTTATCTGTCCAATCTAGAATCGACATAGATGCGTAAATCCGTGGAATGATTTAAAATGGTTGAATCCAGTAATTTATGTTCTCGTTCTACCTTGACCCAAAAGGATTTCAATCTGGTAATGCGCTTACTACTTTTTGCTCGAGTTCATTAAATATACGACTTTTAATGAAAATATTAATTTTAATTTTGAATTCGTTCTTTATACAGATGAAAGTGAAAAGGCACTTCAGTAGTTGGCTCAGACAGCGGCTCAGGCTACAGATGAAAAGGTACAGCTGGCAACATTCTGAAAATTCTTAACGGTGAAAGAATTTATGATTTTGGGAATCCTGTTGTTGGTGGTTGCTCCCGCACAACGGGTTTCCGACTATACTCGCAATCAAATCTGGCACTGTGGCTTGTAGACGTTAAGTTTGCCACAGCCGTAGCATGAAATACCATATATGTATACCAAAATGGAAATTCAAAGCTGAATTGTTGTCGGATTTATTGAAGCTTTTGCAGTGCCAGTTCAAAATTGAATCTATGAATATTTTACTTAAAAAAATTGCGTTAAGTTTTTAAGCCTCATATAAGACTATCTTATAAAATGCACTCTAGACGGGGTTTTTCCAAATCCGTATTTACCAATCCGTATTACCAAAAATGTTCGCATTCAATTTTTATTAAGATTTAAACTTGGTTGAATAATGCAATATTGGTACATTCAACAAGGTCGACAACTTTTCCGATTTTTTTATAAAGCCAATGCCCTGAATTTGTTTGTTTTAGTTTTCCAAAAACTACTGATACCATTTTTAATGCTTCCCATTTAATGTATTTGTGTTTCTATTATTTTCCGATTAATTTGGTCGTCCGACAGGTTAATTACAAGTATAATACTGGGTTTGGCAATAGGGGCACATTAGCTCTATATATTTTGTAAATTGTTCTTTATTTATTTTTCAGGATATTTCATTTTACTTTTCAAGGCACCAAAGTTAACATCATTATTTTGTCTATTACTAGAAACATTGAGATAATTTTCGATAAAAGAAAGGCGCTGCAAAATATCATGATATGATTGTGCAAAGCCCGAAACAAGATTTCTTATTTCCTTATTTTCAGCTTCCAGTATTGCAATTCTGCTTAAAATTTCCAAACTTGAAGAAGCATCGATCGTAATGTCGTCAATCTGAAAAGGTTAAAAATATAATGATTTTTGTAGTTGGAAGTATCCTTGTAAGTCTTCTATGTGTGTTCTAAAGTACATAAAGTAATTGACATCAATCTTTAAAGTTTTCTAAAAAGCATGTATATTTTAAGCTTGATTCAACTTTTGTTATTGAAAGGTATTTTATATATCGTTTTCATCAAACAAATTTTATTTGTTATATGTTGCTATTTTGTAATTTTTGTTAACTGTTTTCAAAAGCTGCAGATTAATTGCCTCTTTCTCTTTAATTGAACTCTTTAGCCTGTTACATACATTTGATACATACATTACATACATTATACCCCTTTAAGCCATTTTCAATGGACTTCGGATATTCTTATTATTATTCCCCTTATTAAAAAAAGACTCGCACAGCATAGGAGAGGAAGAGGTTCTTTGACCTTAACAAAGTTTATTGAGCCACAAATCCACCTGTGACAACAAGAGCAAGTCCACCGCCTAATGAAGGTGAGCAAGCAGTGAGCAAGCATCTTGCCGCTGCAGTCCTTATCTTCCACTAATCCAGGCTTCACATTCACAAACAATAAGTCTTGTAGTTTCGTCATGCCTCCTACAGAATCTGCTTCAATGGAAAATTGTACCTCACCGCATGGTGGTCTACCCTGCAAAAGTTTATGCGATGATCTATTTAGAGAGGGGTAAGCAGGCTACGATAGTTTTGGCAAAGCCTCCGTAGTTTTACAAGTATTGATTGATTTGCTATTGTTATATCAACACTTTTCCTCAAATGCAACAATTTTATTATATTATACCAAACTTAAGAAGGAAATTCTAGTGTTTGACTTTAGAAGGATGGTTGGTGAAAATATCACCTCATTAGTTTGATGAACTTATAGTTTTTAATTTCATTTTTCAGAGCGTCACATTCAAGATAAGACTTTATATCCGTGTGCTTTCTAAATGCATGAAATATTGCATTAAATGCAATATTTTGGAAAAAATACCAAATTTCAAACTTCTATTTCCGATCACAGGCAGTGGCCTTGGACGCCAACAGTAGTTCATTGATGGACTCAAAACTGAACGGGGGAACCTTGAACCTAGCACTGGAATTTAAATTCCTATGGGTGTTTTGTCTGCGTATATATCTGAGATTCACTCCTTTGTTTTTTTTTTTTCTAATAAACGTGAAAGAAGGTCAATAGCACCATCGTTTATATCTTTACGGATAGCCAAACGGCCATTCAGGCTTTCCTCACAAAGTATTACCCTGAAACTTGTAGAAGACTGTTGAAACTGTCGTCACTAGCTCACGATAATACTTTGATTGGTTCCTTATAACGCCTGTATCTTCGGTAACGAAGTAGCCGACGAGCTAGCAAGAAATTGGCCAGGATAAGAGCTGTGGATTGCCGTGGGTGCTTCCACCCAATCCATGTTAACATCCAATTTCTATAATGAATCCTAAAAGCTAAGGTTCTGTTGATTCCTTACTAAGATTTGAAATTGGAAGTTTTTAATGAAATGATTCAAGACATTTTGTCAATTATCTGACAGGCCATCACTCAATTAAATATTATCTCCACAAAATGCACTCCTCATATAGACTGTAAGCTCAGCTTGAAACGAAGCAACTATGAAGCTACTTTTTGGGTTGGGAGGGACCATATTTAGCAGATATTCTTTAGAAATTTAGAAAAACCAAAAATTATTAGGAGAATCAAGTTAGAAATATATATAAGTTATAGCAAGTAAAATTTGAATGTGAATAATTTGATAGATAACACTGTGCAGTTCATGTACTTGGCCCATTATGCTGGCAGTGCGTTATATCGGACAGCAACTTAGTTGCAGCTACACGTAATATGATACCCTTCAGGAGCAGCAAGCTCAGCGCTATCCAGGACACAGAAGTCGACTCTATTCAATTTGTAAGAACCAAATGTGTTAAGTTTTAGATCCGATCTTGTTCCTTAACCGGTCTAACGAGGATCAACACAACTATGCAAGAAAACCCAGCCAAACTGTAAAAATATAAAATCCCACAACCTTCCTCAACAACTCATTTAAAACTCAATAACATTGCATCAAAGAAAAAGGTTAAGATAAAGTGCGTCAGCGCTTCAATCAATAATAAAAAACAAAAAATCACGCACAGCGTATCCACCAGTGCAGCGCACACACAAACTTGACACCGAAGCCGGAAGAGCTCTTCGATCTCCTCTTTGAAGCGAACAGACGTGTTTTTTGTGCACTCCGTAAAACCTTAAAACACCATTTAAAAATATGCATTACATTTTTTTGCCTTCTCGGTTTATTTTTGTTTTATCGCTAGTGCATGCTTTTGGCCTATATATTTAAATATATTAACTTTGTCATTTTCTAAATTTGTGTTTTGTGCATTTTGGTTTGTGCGCTTGCGCCATTAGCTTTGTGGGTAAGCCTCTCTTGGTGTACAATATCTCGTGGGCAATCGATAATCTTTGAATTTTTCACGCGCCTTTTTCAAACTTAAACTTTGATTTATTTCTATATTCCGCCGCTTGTTTGTGTTGCGTAAGCTCTTAATAATTTCTAACTAAATACTTTTCTTACATTCGGCTGCGTTGTTACAGTAAAAACCCACAACAATAATGGATCAAAAGTTCTCTGCTTCTAAATCGCTTGCCAAAATCATATAATGGCAAGGCAATCAAGTATACCTTCTTGGCTATGTGAAATTTGAGTGAATACTTAATGGCCGGTTATGGTTTGCACTGCAGTTGCGACTCGTGTAGGGGGAAATGCGAAATGCGGGAGTTTATGCGGTAGACCAAGACTATCTTTGAGGGTCTGATCTTTGGTTTTCGTAAAATAAATGATTAGCTGAAAGCTGTTGGATGAGACTTCTGGGAATACTATTCCTTCGTCCTCCTCCTCCTTGTAACTTGACCTTGACAAATACCCTTCAGCCTACGACTGCAATTCAACAGCCTACTATTACGATCACACAGACTCTTTTATTACTCCTGTAGCTATACTAGGACACAATTTCAGTTCCGTTACATGTGACACCGATACGAGTAGAACCAATCGTTAATAAAAGCCTTTATACAGTTAAAAATTTATGTCGCAGGCAAATAAATTTTCTCTTCTACCAAAACCAAATGCAGATCGCGCTAAGAGCTCATTTGCTTTAGCAGGAATAAAATAAATACCAAATTATCAATTAAAATAGCAGCACATACACACAGCACACAAAAACAATACTATCCCAATTGCAATGTGCTTTGCGTTAGCTGCCGCGTTCATGTAGCCTGCCAATATATATAAAACCATACGTTTTTTTAATATTCTTGTTTCGTAACCGATCTTGATAACATTTTAAATATTTTTCTCAAAAATAAAATTGCATTAAAATTATGGCTTACGTTTTATTTATCCATTACTTGTAAATGAGGAGAAACAAACTAATACTGCGCGGGCACTAGGAGGACTTACATTCCAAAGTCTTTATCTAGACATTGAGGTCTTTATCTATTATAGGTTCTGAGATCCTTGCGTTCATACATACGGACAGACAGAAGGACATGATCTTGCATATGTATACTTTATGGGTCTTCTGCCTGTTACATACATTTGCACAAAAATCAATCAGATTAAATGTAACAGGTTCTTTTGACATCAAGACATAAAGGCTTCAATGTCGGCGTATAGAAGAAGAACTCTATAGTGAGACAGTATCAGGGAAGGTCATGGATGAAAAGTGTAAAGAGCAAAGGACCAAGATGACTACCTTGGGGAAAGTGAGGAAAGTCACCTGAATTCATTTAGAAAACGATTTCTGAAAAAACCTTTTTGGTTTGACGATCCGTACACGACAAAGATACTTTATATATATTTCTGGTATGACCTATATTAGAGTATGTCCCATGTATCTGGTCGCCGAAATACTTTATTCATCAGAAACAAACAGGATCCACGTGGGTACAAAAAAAAAACACGTTCAATATAGACAGAAATATATATTTTTTAATTAAACTCAATTTTTGGCCGGATAGTACCGATTTCGTGGTATCAGTCACACACTAAATGATTGTGACAGTATAAGGTTCTGAGGGTCACGGTCGCAGGCAGGAAAAAGGGTGAATACTTCTGAGCCGTATTCTGGGCAAAGGAGGCAAAAGGTATACCAGGTAGCTCACCAGGCTTTTAATCTTTTAGTGGAAGGTCCCTGTTGCTAGTCGTACATCGTAATGTTGTGGGGGTACCGATGAAATTACTTATTCGACAGTGTTGCGTCCATATGACCCTTCTCACGATTAAATAACGTATTCAGCTCAGAAGCATCTTCGTCTTTGAAATCGCCCTGCTCAGACTTAGACTATACGAAACCGATTGAATTAACGATCGTAGCGTCAAATTATGGGATCGAAACAGTTCTTTCCCAAAATAACTGCCCTGTTGATATGTTATCTCAAACATTAAAGGAAAGTGTAACGAAATACGCAGCAAATAAAAGAGAGAGAGAGAGGTTAGCTATCGTCTAGAGCATAGAAAATATCCGTCAATACATAAACGGACTAAGAGATATAACAAAGACACTTAGCATCCTTTAACCCTTAACATTTGCAGTCTCAGAAAAGGTCTCCTACGGCGTTAAATCTGTCCGCCGACTCTAGCTATAAGAATCAACTCTATGTAGTGTTTAATTTATCAATTTAATCTAATTACGTTAACTTATTGAATAATAAATAGCTCGTTAATGCCAATACATTACCTTCTCCAATGAGGTTTGTATGTGCTCTCTAGCTTTCGCAATTTCGGACACTAAAAAGCTGCAGTTGTTCGGCTTGGTTACCTTAAAAAATATTAATTGAATAAATTAAAAAACATTACGAATATGAAATATACAATTGCGTTAAATTTTTCAATTTGGTATTAATTAATTTAAAAAATACAATTGAACTGCTTATCTACGTTTTGCTCGCAATAGTAATAGAGCTCTATTTGTGAGTGTCTCATTTGGAGATACCCTG